GATTTGACCATGTTTAGTATGGCTGAAGCTAGTAGATTGTCAGAATTGTTGCCAAAGTCAAAAATCTGGACCAAGTGTAGGATGTTCTGTTATGGCACCTGACAGATGAGGCGATCATAAGACCCAGCTTTCCTGAATGGGTGTTCTTTGACATTTCCCCAATGTACAACTTCAATCCTACATGGTGATGTTCAATCTTTTTCATCCTGGGACACTATTTATATCAAAGGTATTCTATTTTTTTTATTACGTAGGGCCAGCAACCATGGAATCAGTCTTGCTGAGATTCCCGAGAAGAGAAGAATGAAGCTTGAGAAGGAGAGGGACATAGTCGAAAAGCAGAAACTGAAATGAACCATGACTAACAGATGCCCACCATGATCCATATGGAACCTTAGAGTTCTGGAGAGGCTTTTGGACACCTTTTGCAGATTTGTTTCTGGTATTTTCTGTGGAAGCCTCCAGATATGTTTTCCTTGTCTCTGATATTTAAAGACATCATTCAATGCAATGTGTAAATCCAAAGATGACTGTCAAGATACAGATAGTAAACTATGCTAGAAAATACTGCATCTTTTGTTTTTCTAATTGCTTTCAGATGACTATCTGTTCACAATTTTAGATTTTCCAGCTCTTGCTGGTTGGCCTGGAACAGACTTCGAGCTTGTGTGTTGATAATCATTTCTTGAAAAGAGTTTTGAGCCTAAATAAGTCCCAAGTTGGCCAACTGATTGAGTTTACAAAGAATATGGGATAGAATTTTTAAAATTGGAAATGATGAAACTAAAATTTGTTTCTACTGATGTCAAGTGTGGAAGACTTTGTTGAAGAAGGACACCAGTTAAAAAAGTGAATAAATCATTGGAGGAAACTAAAGGTTTTTCTGAGTGTCCAAAAGGTCCATCAAGATGTGTTGAACTTCTCTTCTAAAACTTCTGTCTTTATGATGAAACTTGAGCTGGATCAGATTTTTCACCCGTGTGTTGATTTTACTCAGATGAAGATCGTTTTAAATCCTAATTTCCAGATTATTGACCTTGTAAAGCTTATGAAGCAGGTGTCAATTCCATGTGCTTTTAAGATGGATGACCCTAAAAGTTCCTTCCAATGCTGTCAGTTGGAGACTTAGTAGAAGGTTGTTGAATAACGCTAGAAATCCAGCTCAAATATCCACAACATCCGTAGTTTTGTGTTGAACTTCAATCTTTCTAATTTACTTTCACCAATCAATCATTCTCTTTTAATTTTCTTCATCTTGAGAGGTTTTTCCTTTCTGTGGACCAGCTAGTGGTTCTGAAGATACAAGGTCATTTATTAAGGTTCAACTGGATGGACATGTGTCTTTATCAACCTATTTAGTTATTTAATATCCAATATCTTCATGTTTAGTTATCATCCAAAATCCTAATAGATAAAAAAAACCTCCAGGTAATGGATGTATTCATTTAAAAAGATAATAAATGTATTTTTTAAATGCAACTAATGTAAGTACCCGAATCTATTTTGGTATCTGCCTCTTGCATTTTTTTGTATGATAGCACAGAGACTGGGGGAGGGAGTGACAACCCTAAAACCCAATCTGGTGTGCAGCATTCAATGATTTAGCTAAATGCAGAATGGCCAGAGAAAAGAGCTCATCAGTTTGCTGCTGTCCCTTTATTAGCCAAATACAGATGGGGAAGGGGAAGTAACCTGTATATCTTAAAGTGACTCTGTCACTTTTTAAAATATCAAAATGAAAGTCCTCACTACAAAATAAATGGGTCATACTTACCCCTACTGCCCCCCACTTTGACAATACCTGTTTTCAGGAGCTCCGCTAGCTAAAACATCTTCAGACTCAATTCCAATTCTGGGTATGTTAGATATCTAGTTGAAGGAAGGAACCACAGCACCCCCAAAGAGAAAGTCTAACACTTCCAGTGTGTCCGTTTTCGAAGATAATTCAGCCAGTGGGGGATCTGATGGCAACAGATATTGGGGTGTAGACACCAGTGGTGGGCTCAGGAAGCAGGATTTTTAGGCATTAAGGAGTTTAGCTTGAAGTTATCAGGGGACACGAATGTGCAATTTGTATGCAAAAATGTTAATGTGCGTTTTTGGGTCTATTTTGCAACTGAAACAACAGATTTTGGTTTTGCATGACTGTGCCACCAAATAGCAACTGTCTGACTTTTAATTCTGTTGTGTCACAACGGCGACCATTTTTTTCTAGACAAACCATTTAACATCAGAATTGCAGCAAAACTTAGAAATGCTTAGGAAAACTCTTCATAAACACACAGAAATGTTCATTTTGATATTAGTTAACCAGGGGCGGACTGACAACTCATGGGGCCCCTGGGCAAGAGGGGATCATGGGGCCCCTGTGTCCTTGCCCACACTCAAAGCACACCGAAAAAAGCCTATAAAAGGTACCAGTGGCATTTCATGGGGCCCCCTACTGACCCCGGGCCCTCGGGCAGTGCCCGAGTGCTCAAATGGCCAGTCCGCCCCTGCAGTTAACTTATTACATACAGAAGATAAATCTGTCTGTAAGAAGATAAATGCCCCTCATTGTTATCTTCGCCCATCCAAAGCCATCATGCATCATTTGTATAACCAAAAACCTTTTAATGCGAATGCTTGAGTTGATCTTCTTGCTTTTAATTAAGAAAAAAACCCTTAATTTTCTTTTCTAGGTTTTGCTCTAATTATGCTGTGTTGCCCAGGATGTGTAAAACAATTGTAATGGCAACATTGTGTATGTATCCTTGTAAATAAAAGCAAAATATGGTAAAAGTTTAAATGTTATATTTCTCTTCAGAGATATTCTAAAAAGCCAAAGTACCATAGGCAAGGATTGAATACAAAAGGACTGGAGCCCAAAGGCTGAAAAAACCCATTGTATGACACCGAGTGTCTCCAAAGAGGTGCTTATCACTAGCCTTTATATTTATGCCTCATATGTATACAGGAGCGGACTGACAACTGGGGCCCCCGGGCAATAGGGGATCATGGGGCCCCTGTGTCCTTGCCCAAACTCAATAAAAGCCTATGAAAAAAGTTACATGGGGCCCCTGGGCAATAGGGGATCATGGGGCCCCTGTGTCCTTGCCCAAACTCAAAAAAGCCTATGAAAAAGTTACCAGGGGCATCTCATGGGGCCCCCTACTGACCCCGGGCACTCGGGCAGTGCCCAAGTTTCCAAATGGTCAGTCAGCCCATGCTTGTATGTATGTATGATATATATATATATATATATATATATATATATATACTGTATTGCTGTATATATTGCTTACGTCTTTAAAATGGTGCAAAACTACAGTACCCTAAATCATGTGTAACAGCCCATTCAAACCAACTGAAAAGTGTTATGTCATGAATAACCACGTGAGCTCTGGAAGGTTTTACCCCCTTCATGACCAGGCCATTTCTTCCTATTTAGCACTATGCTAATTTAACTGGTAATTGTGCGGTCATGCAGTGCTGTACCCAAGCTAAATCTATATAATTTTTTTCACACAAATCAAGCTTTCTTTTGGTGGTATTTGATCACCATTAGATTGTGTTGCGATATAAAAGAAAAAAAATTGAAAATTTTGGAAACAAAACAATATTTTTACTTTCTGCTATGAAACATATTCAATGAAAAAAAATCTGTTTTCTTCATAAATTTTGGCCAAAATGTACTATGCTATATGACTTTATATTGATTGGTTTGCCTGAAAGTTAAAGCATCTACAAACTATGGTATGTATATTGGAATTTTTTTATACTACTAATGGTGGTGATCAATGACTTATAATAGGACAGCCATAGTGCAGCAGGCAATCTGACACTAACTGATGCGGGGGGGGGGGGGGGGAACTGACTAACTGCCACTGACATCACCAGTGACACTAATACAGTGATCAGTGGAATACTATACACTGTCACTGTACTATGACACTGGTGGGAAGAGGTTAACATTTATGTTGATCAAACGGTTAAATGTGTGCCTAAAAATCAGGGGTATATTTACCACAAGGCAAACAAGGCACTTGCCTAGGGCGGCATTTTTCAGGGGGGCAGCACCTCCCCCCAGAAGAAGGGATGAAAGAAGGGACACGTGCTCCATGGGAACCAAGTGGGATCTGAGAGAGGCTGCAGGCTGCTTAATGGTGTATGTAGAGCCTGACTCACATTCCCGGGGATGACAAGGTAGGGGGGGGGGTTGGTGTTGGTCAGTGTCTGTGGGGATGATTTTTATGTTGCCTAGGGCAGCACAAAAACCTAAATACACCAATGCTAACAATGTCTAATGTCTGTAATGTGTGCTACTTGTACTAACAAATCTCTTTGTTTCTTATCCCTGGTTTGCAGAGATAACAAAAAGAGAGATCATTCTCTCTGTACAGAGCCCTGTGTTGATTGTCAACACAGAGCTCTGGGCTGTGATTAGACACATCCAATCAGCATGTCCGGGTCATGAACCATTGGCCAGGACTTTCTGACAGACTTCCACTGTGTGCAATCACAGTGGATGTTGGTGGGGGCGGGGTTGAAGGCTGGGGGATGCACATCCTAAATCAAGCAGCAGTCAGTGACATAACAGTAGGTCACTTTGCCTGCACAGGCTGCCCATCTACAGTGAATTACAGGTAGGCTGTCCTTAATCACTTCCTGTCCGTCCCATATACATAAACGGCCTGATGGGAGCAGTGCAGGAGTGGGTGGCCATGTCTGTGTGCGCTCCCTGCGGACACAGCGGAACACCAATCGCTGTATGGGACCTCTGTGTGAGGTCCCGATCATGTGATCACTGATTTGCCTATCAGTGATCACATGAATAATAGTAAGCAAGATGTCACTTCCTGGCATCATTGCTTACTACTAGTGAAATCTGTTAATGATCACATGGTACAAGGCTATTCACAAAAGGCTTTGTACCATGGGAAAAGCTGTGATCTTCAAAAAAAAAATCTTCATCACCCCCCACAAGTAATACAGTGTCACCATGGTGACACTGTACTGCTAGGGTGACAGTATGTAAAAAAAAAAACACACACAAAAAAAATATAAAAAAAAAAAAAAAAAAAAAAATGTTTAAATTATAATTTTTGGGTATAAACTAATTTGGGTTATTTATTTTTTTTTTACCAAAAAGATAGCTGAATACATTTTGGCCAAGATTTATGAAGAAAGATTATTTGCAAAATGTTATAAGAAAAACACTTTTTTTTCAAAATGTTTGCACTTTTTCATTTATATAGCAAAAAAATTAAAATCTCAGTGGTGAATAAATACCACCAAAATAAAGTTTTATCTGTCTCAAACAAATGCTAAAAAATGCATATGGGTGCAGTGTTGCATGACCGCTCAGTTGTCATTCAGAGTGTGATAGTGCTGAAAGCTGAAAATTGGCCTGGACAGGAAGGGCGGGAAAGTGCCCGGACATGAAGTGGTTAAGCGGATAATACGTGCATTGCAGCAATTCCTTTTTTAACTTTATTTAAAGTTAACAAAACTCATTTTAAAGTGTATTTGAAGTCAAATAGTAACTAATCCAAAACTTACTTCCACCTCCACTCTAAACCTATTTTAACTACCCTGTAAAGGAAAGATTATTAATATTATACAGGATTTATATATTATTATTATTATTATTACAGGATTTATATATTATTATTATACAGGATTTATATATTATTATTATTATACAGGATTTATATATTATTATTATTATACAGGATTTATATATTATTATTATTATATATTTATTATACAGATTTATATATTATTATTATTATACAGGATTTATATATTATTATTATTATATTATTATACAGGATTTATATATTATTATTATTATTATTATACAGGATTTATATATTATTATTATACAGGATTTATATATTATTATTATTATACAGGATTTATATATATTATTATACAGGATTTATATATATTATTATTATTACAGGATTTATATATTATTATTATTATTATACAGGATTTATATATTATTATTATTATACAGGATTTATATATTATTATTATTATTATACAGGATTTATATATTATTATTATTATACAGGATTTATATAGCGCCAACAGTTTGCTCAACGCTTTACAATATACTGTAGTGGACAAAAAGCGTTATTAGCCTGTTACAGACTAATCTGGAGGTGAGCGCACATGTTATACTCATTAAGGAAGTCACCTGGAATTATTGATTTGATTTGAATCACTGGGAAAAGTCACATATATTTTTCATAGAATACTGATTAATTTTTATATTTTTTTTGTATGATGAGCACGGGATGACATTTTGATTTCACATGATTTACTGTTTTTCACTAGTTTATTATTATTGATTTTTTTTTATATATTATTGGAAATATGTATTGATTTAATATTCAAAGAAGGAGAGCAGCATATTGTTTTTATGTTTTTGAATTATTTGCACATTTAAAGAGGATGTGCTGTATGTTTGTGATCCTGTAATAGCAGTGAATGGCTCGCAAGTGACATCTTTGTTTTTATTTGCACAAAGAATTACTTACAGTCCAGACTTCTTGACTAACAGGGTGTCCCCTAATGGGATCCCCAAAACAAACAGGCAGCACTTCAAACTTGTCCGTCTACTGTCAGCGCTCAAAATTTCACCCGCAGCAGGCTCCCAAAGCACACAGAGAGCAGGAGAGAGAACCCTGAGCACCAGTCAACTGGCATATACAAAAGCCCACGGACAGCTAAGATTCATACTCAGGTCTGGCTACAAGGTAACATGGCACCTAGGACTGTTAGCTTTCTCCCACCCAAAACTTTTGCAATGCCTCAAGGCTCCAAGATCCACAACAATACCTGTTTCAGGTTCTCAGATAACAAAAAGACAGTTTACTCCACATCAGCCGCCACAAGCCCTTGAGGCCCTCAGCATGCATATGTCAGCACCCTAGGGAAAACCTATCATCCGTCCATGGTTCTGCCAGCCAGTGCCTCGCATAGCCTTCCCTGTGCTCAGACCTTTGGGAGGGAGCCTAGTTTTCCAGCACGTCACAGTCCATCCAGCATTCCCTTGCTAGCTCCCTGGCCCGTGTTCTACATAAAATGGAAAGCCTTGCAAAGCCAGAAAGCGCCTTGTGACCCTTTCATTGCTCCCTTCCTTCTGAGCCCTCCACCGTACTGGAGAATGGGAGGCGTTTGGCCAAAAGGTCATACCTCAAGGACTCTGGTGCCAATTTGTGGCCAGAGTCTCCCTTTCCACTATTGAATGGTTCCTCCCTGCAGGAGTTAGAGCCTGGATGGAGTATGCTTATAAGGGAATGTGCGCGAGGGTGATCTGGAGGTGGGTGTCCCCTGGGTCGGCCGGCAGTAGCCCAAGACGTGTAAAGACCCTGTGAAAGTGGGCTAAGCAGACGGCCATGAAAATCAAACATGACCCCGACGTGATTTGAACACGCAACCTTCTGATCTGGAGTCAGACGCGCTACCGTTGCGCCACGAGGTCTCTGACATGCCTCGGGGGCATTTTTTGCCTGCTCTTGTGTCATTGCTTCTGTGGCTGCCCAAAGAATTCCTCACAGCCCAGATAGTCCTGTGCCAGCTTTAGCGGGCCCACCCTCAGCAAGCTTGGGCCGGTTAGCTCAGTTGGTTAGAGCGTGGTGCTAATAACGCCAAGGTCGCGGGTTCGATCCCCGTACGGGCCAGTCTGCTTTTCTTTCAATAGCATCCCACTAAGGTGGCTTTCCATGCCCATCCGCGCTTGGCCTTCTTTTCTACAACCTATTAAACACACAGCAATAATGACTCTTTTGCTAAGGACGCCAATGAATTACGTCTGAGCCACTGGCTAAACTCGGGTCACTCCTTGACTAACAGGGTCTCCCCGAATGGGATCCCCAAAACAAACAGGCAGCACTTCAAACTTGTCCGTCTACTGTCAGCGCTCAAACGTTTCACCCGGCAGCAGGCTCCCAAAGCACACAGAGAGCAGGAGAGAGAACCCTGAGCACCAGTCAACTGGCATATACAAAAGCCCACGGACAGCTAAGATTCATACTCAGGTCTGGCTACAAGGTAACATGGGCACCTAGGACTGTTAGCTTTCTCCCACCCAAAACTTTGCAATGCCTCAAGGCTCCAAGATCCACAACAATACCTGTTTCAGGTTCTCAGATAACAAAAAGACAGTTTACTCCACATCAGCCGCCACAAGCCCTTGAGGCCCTCAGCATGCATATGTCAGCACCCTAGGGAAAACCTATCATCCGTCCATGGTTCTGCCAGCCAGTGCCTCGCATAGCCTTCCCCTGTGCTCAGACCTTTGGGAGGGAGCCTAGTTTTCCAGCACGTCACAGTCCATCCAGCATTCCCTTGCTAGCTCCCTGGCCCGTGTTCTACATAAAATGGAAAGCCTTGCAAAGCCAGAAAGCGCCTTGTGACCCTTTCATTGCTCCCTTCCTTCTGAGCCCTCCACCGTACTGGAGAATGGGAGGCGTTTGGCAAAAGGTCATACCTCAAGGACTCTGGTGCCAATTTGTGGCCAGAGTCTCCCTTTCCACTATTGAATGGTTCCTCCCTGCAGGAGTTAGAGCCTGGATGGAGTATATGCTTCTTGATGTTCTTCCCCATTCATTTCCTGGGACAAGGCTGCTCCCAGGCCCATATCGAAGGTGTTGGTCTCGAGGTGAAATTGTCGACTAAATTTGGGGGTGGGCAACACTGGTCGTTTACACTATACTAACTTAAGCTGTTGAAAAGCTCTCTGTGCCTTTTCATTGCATTTGAAGGTGGTGTACCTGGCCCCTTTGCTTAGAAGCATAAATGGAGCTGCAATTGCAGCAGAGTTCATCCCAAAGCTCCCATAGCGTGGTCCAGTTGTTAGGGTGGCTGTGTTTGTTTTTATTGGTAACCTTGTCGCGAGGCAGGTTGTAATTGCTTGATTGTTGCCTATGAGAGGCTTTGTGAGCCTGCGTCCAACGGTGTGACCCCCAGATCTCCAGCTTCAGCTTCCTCCAGGCCAGTGGGCAAGCTATAAGGGAATGTGCGCGAGGGTGATCTGGAGGTGGGTGTCCCCTGGGTCGGCCGGCAGTAGCCCAAGACGTGTAAAGACCCTGTGAAAGTGGGCTAAGCAGACGGCCATGAAAATCAACATGACCCCGACGTGATTTGAACACGCAACCTTCTGATCTGGAGTCAGACGCGCTACCGTTGCGCCACGAGGTCTCTGACATGCCTCGGGGGCATTTTTTGCCTGCTCTTGTGTCATTGCTTCTGTGGCTGCCCAAAGAATTCCTCACAGCCCAGATAGTCCTGTGCCAGCTTTAGCGGGCCCACCCTCAGCAAGCTTGGGCCGGTTAGCTCAGTTGGTTAGAGCGTGGTGCTAATAACGCCAAGGTCGCGGGTTCGATCCCCGTACGGGCCAGTCTGCTTTTCTTTCAATAGCATCCCACTAAGGTGGCTTTCCATGCCCATCCGCGCTTGGCCTTCTTTTCTACAACCTATTAAACACACACACAGCAATAATGACTCTTTTGCTAAGGACGCCAATGAATTACGTCTGAGCCACTGGCTAAACTCGGGTCACTCCTTGACTAACAGGGTCTCCCCGAATGGGATCCCCAAAACAAACAGGCAGCACTTCAAACTTGTCCGTCTACTGTCAGCGCTCAAACGTTTCACCCAGCAGCAGGCTCCCAAAGCACACAGAGAGCAGGAGAGAGAACCCTGAGCACCAGTCAACTGGCATATACAAAAGCCCACGGACAGCTAAGATTCATGCCTATGAGAGGCTTTGTTAGCCTGCGGCCTATGCTGTCACCCAGATCTCCAGCTTCCTCCAGGCCAGTGGCCAAGCTATAAGGGAATCTGCTTGAGGGTAATCTGTAGATGAGTGTCTCCTTGGTCCACTCCCAGTAGCCTGGGATGTGTAAAGTCTCTATGAAAGTGGGCTAAGTAGACAGCCAAAGCTCCCATAGCATCCTTCATTTCTTAGGCCCATGAGAGGCTTTGGGACCCTGCATCCAATACTGTCACCCAGATATGAAGCTTTCTCCAGTTCTGTGGCCCTTTTTTGTGGCCAAGCTATAATGGCATCCCTCCGAGGGTAATCTGGAGGTGAGGGGACCCTGCGTTCACTCCCCATAGTCTGAGATGTGGAAATACTCTATGATAGTGGGCTAAGGTGACGTCGATTAAAGTTTACTTGACTCTGTTGTGATTTTAACACGTAACCTTCTTAATTTGAGTTATATGTGCTTCAGCTCCTTCTGCACCTTTAGGACATTTTCTGACTTTAATGCTTCTTTCAATGTTAATCTAGAGATTATTGTCTGCTCAGAGCCACCTATGACATTGGTATTGTCATATGCCTAGACCTGATTAAACGTACTTTGGAAAGATGCTACGAAGTTGTAATGGTTAGGTGATGGAGACAATTAAAAATTTGTGCTGTATTTC